GTAATCTCGGGACCGTCGGTTACACCCGGTAATCTCGGGACCGACGGTTATACCCGATAATCACGCCGCTGACAGTAGCTCACATCGGCCCCCACCGAGCTTCCTGGTAGGTCGGACCTCGGCCAGGTTCACCTCGGCCCTCATACTTAGCATCTGTCAACGCTAGTGGTGGTGATCTCGGCGGTCCGAGCTGAGCATGACTCATGAGTCATCTTGGAGCACCAATAGGGGTCCTCCACGTGTCCAGGATATTCTCTTCCCCAAACAGAAACATTACTTGAGATCTCGAGTCGCTGACCAATTCTTTAAAGGTTGCGTTAGGTAATGCATTTGTAAATAAGTCTGCCATGTTATTACTCGAACAAATTTGTTAGACAGTGGTGTAGCCATTTTCTTCAAGATTATGAGTGCAGAAAAGTTTTGAGGAAATATGCTTTGTTCAATCCCTTTTAATATATCATCCTTTGATTTGGGCTATAAATGTTGTGTTGTCTTCGTATAACAATATTGTTAGAAGAATTTTACTAGAACAACTGATGTTCTACGAATGTGCTGCGTTATTGATCTTAGCCATACACATTCTCGACTAGCGCCATGAATTACAATAATTTCAACATTATTTGAAGATATGGTTGTTATGGTCTGTTTCACTAACTGTCATGATATAGCAATTCGTGCATAGATAACTTGTTTGAGATGTACCTTTGTGGATCAGATAAATATCCAGCATATATCTGCATAACCAACTAGATCAAAATTTGATTTGTTAGTTAGAAGAATAGAGTTTTGATGAGTCAATTTTGGGATTAGTAATTTTGGGTGTTTTTTAGTTATTTGATAATTTTAATAGACATTTTCTTTGGGTAGTACAATTGTTTTTAGTATTTCTTTCTTTTGTACGACTTGAGTCGAAGAAGAGAAGAAAAAGAGCAAATAAAGAAGCAAACTGAGCCAAAAATCATGTACTTCGGGCGCTTAGGTGTTGAAAAATGGGCAGAAAGGTAGAATGGTCGGTGCCTAGGCACGAAACTGGACGCCTAAGCGCTACAAAGTTGAAGCGGTGATTTTACATGCACGCATTTGGGCACCTAAGTGCCTAAATTGGGTCCCTAAACACTATTGACATAATGTGGTTAAAAATCCCATTTTAGCCATAGCCGCAAAACAGGAGAAAATAGAGAGATTTTAGATGAAAAGTGATTTTTTTTAGAGCGAAAAGTTAGGGATTTTGAGAGAAGCGTAAAGAACACGAAGAACGGGCACTCGAGAGATCGTCAGATTTGTTTTCTCTCTCTTCTTTTTTCTCTCTTGTGCTTGAACTTCCTTCAATGTTGTTGATTAAGATTATCCTTTTGGATTCAAGCATTAGCTAAATACACTTTTATAAGGCATTGATGTAGTCTTTATCAAACTTTACTCTTCCATGTTCTTTATTTGATTTATCTTCTAAACTTGTTGGTTGTGAGAACTTTTTCTATTCTTAATGCATTGTTTAGATTGGTTATTTTTTACATTGATTTCTTGTCATAAATCAAGGCTAACAAGATTTTTTACTAGATTTAAATAGTTTTCCGTAATTAAAGCAAGAGATAGAGATATTATTGTAAATTTTTGGCATAGTTTGGGTTCTACGTGCTTAATTATTTGAGTTGTGTCCCCTATCTTTTAAGGGGTCGACTAACGCTTTTTAAACATGTTCGAGTATTCCGATGCACATGGTTAAAGTTTGATCTAAGATTACCCGGCCTACACTTCGRCTACTAATAAGGGGACAAGACCAACCAATTAGATTGGAGATGATCCCTTCTCTCCTGTGAGTGCAGTGAAGGACTCTCGCCTCACCCGCCCGTTTGACTTATGGCATCATCGACTTGCTTTTCAACCTAAGTGATTTCATAACTAGAAAGAAAGACCTCTCTTTCGGGATCAGTCCCGTCCCTAGATGTAGTAGTCAATCAGCGGGACATTCAAAGAAGCTATGCACCTTCACTAAATGTTAATGAAAGCAAGCCCTTTCATCCTAATCTCATCTACTGAAAAGGGGGCCGGGCGTAGTCAGAGTAGTCATAGAGATATAGATACTTTGATTTTCAAAGAAAATGGTTATTGCTTGAGAAAGAGTATCGAGTCAATAGGGTAGAATTTTGGTAACAACCTTTGTTTAGAAAAGTTTCGATTAAAGTTGTAGGAAGAGTTGAAGGGCGATATCGGTGAAGTCATGCTCTAGAGTTTAATATACTTGAATTTACTCATGTTTCTTGATAGTTGTGTTATTTTCTTCTTTTATTGAACTAGTTTTTAGAATTTTATTTCTTTACTTTACCACCATTAAACTTTCAGCATTCAGATAAAATTGAAGTAAATAATCGATAATTAGTAATCATTCATTCCATATGGAGACGATACTTTATTCACTTCTATATTACTTGTGATGATTTGTACACTTGCAAAGTTAAACAACAAGTATATGATATCTTTTTGTTGTAGAAGAACTGTATCTAGCTATTAAATTTACTGAAAATACTATATATGGTTTTGTAAACCTTTGTTTAGAAAATTTTCAATTAAAGTTGTAGAAAGAGTTAAAGGGCAATATCGATGAAGTCATGCTCTAGAGTTTAATACGCTTGAATTTACTATTGTTTCTTGATAGTTGAGTTATATTCTTTTTTTATTGAACTAGTTTTTAGAATTGTATTTCTTTACTTCACCACCATTCAAATTTCACCATTCAGATAAAATTAAAGTAAAGAATCGGTAATTAATAATCCTTCATTCCCTGTGGAGACGATATTTTATTCACTTCTATATTGCTTGTGATGATTTGTACACTTGCAAAGTCAAACAAAAAGTATATATGCTTTAACTTCAATCTAATGTCTTTTTTCTGGAAAAGAACTATATCTGGTTAATAAATTTACTGAAAATACTATATATAGTTTTGTATTATTAGCAACATACATAAATACACCAATTGCATTAAGATACGGTACTCCAGAATCAAGAAGTTTTTCATTATCTCTTTCCAAAGTCAAAATATATCTTTTTTCACATCAAATGAACAAACTTCCATTAAAATTTTCAAGGTGTTAAATTAGCCCTATGTCATGACAATATGACAGCTACGATAATCGTTATTTAACTCCCGACTATTTTGCTATCAAAGTGAATTAATTCCAAAGAAGATTGCAAATCAGTCACCAATCTTTCCTGAACTACTGTCTTATGAAACTGACGCATAAATAAGGGAAAGCAAGGTAGTGAGCTGCAGCATTAAACACCTTCCCTAACCAGCAGAATATTGCCCTTGAATACTTGCCTTACTTATGGTAGCTGGTAATGAGAATATGAGAAGAATGCTTACTTTCTATAGCAAACCAAAATTATAGCTAATCTTTCACTAGCCGTTAGCTAATTATTGCTTTATTTTTTATGCTGTCTTCCTGTAAGTAATATATATAGCAAGTCTTTGTAACTTTTGGAATTCAAGCAAAGAGAGTGAATTTTCACACAATTCTGATTTCAATTCTGTAATGGTATCATAGCTCTGCTTACATGAAAGAAGTAAAAACCAGTCTTGTTTTGATAAACACACAATGTCCACAGCAGAAAATCCACTCACAATTCAACTATTTCATCAATGTTCTTGCTTAATTTCTATCAAGTTAAACCCCAACAATTATCTTCTTTGGAAATCTCAGGTTTTGCCCCTCATTAGAACCATTAGAATTGAAGGTCACCTCACTGATGATAAGCCATTAGAAGAAAATATCGATGGTAGTAAAGGAGAACCACAACTCAATATCCTAAATACACTACTTGGAGGTAGAATGATAGAGTACTCCTAGTTTCATGGCTCCTAGGAACCATTATACCGAAGAAATCCTACGTATGGTAAAAAATGTTGACATGGCACATCAAGTGTGGATCTCGCTAGAAGAGCAACTTCTCAGCATGACCAAGGAGAATGAAGTTCATCTCAAATAAATGTCTGGTTAGCCTAAAGAAAGGTAATCTTACTCTCGAGGATTATCTAAACAAATTAAAATCTATTTGTGACAGGATAGCGTCAATGGGAAAACCTCTAGATGAAACTACTAAAAGTCTTTCCATCTAGTAAGAGGATTAGAGAGCAAATACAAGGATTTTCAAGTAGCAATGCTCTCAAAGACACCCTACCCTACCTACAAAAGTTAATCTCAATAAATGCAAGGTTAGCCTAAAAAAGGTAATCTTACTCTGGAGGATTATCTAGACAAATTAAAATCTATGTGTGACAGATTATCGCCAATGGGAAAATCTCTAGATGAAAGTACTAGCAAGAGGATTAGGGAGCAAATACAATGACTTTCAAGTGACAATGCTCTCAAAGGCACCCCATGTTGGGAAATTGAAGACCCTAATTTTTCCTTCCACAGAAATATCCAAACACAACAAAAAATATGCAAATAGGAACAAAACTGTAAAAGCACAAGAATAACGACACAACAAATTATACTGGTTCACCACTAAGGGGGGCTACGTCCAGTCTTCCACTCAAATGTGGGTAATTCACTAATAATTGTTTAAGGATTGGGATACAAAACTCTCTCCAAAAATATCCCCTAGAGATCCCAACAAAAGCCCTCTAGCTTCTAAGTATTATAACACACTATACTTAGGTACCAGGAATAAAAAACACGTACGCACTAAACCCATGGGATACAAAATCCTTTTCAACACTACCCACAACCACTCAAGTCTCTTTTATTTGGATTCCGTATAAATAAAAAACCTTAACATAAGGGCCCTATTTATAAGAGGTCAAATATCCTAATTCTTATAGGAAAACAATATTGTAATCTTTATAAGACAACAATATCCTACCCCAGGTAAAAATTGGTAATAGTGTTGAAAAATATTTTCTTCATAGGACATGGATTTCCTGTTTTGGCTTCACAATCCCAACACCCTACGCGCTACCCTACAATCAATTCATCCAATCATTAAAGAATCATGATAGTAGAAAGTCAGGAAGAAAAGTCTCATCAAATTAACCATAATCAAGCCTTTCTTAGTCAAAGACGTGGAACAATTGCAACTATAATACAAGAGGAAGAAGTTGAAATCAAGGAAGAGCTCAAACTTACTCACAAACATTATCCACAAACAAGATGCAACAAATGATACATAAGCAGTTTGCAAGCTCCACACCAGCAATCTGCTTTAACCAGCAAGGAGTTATCAACGATTCAATGCCAAATATGTGGAAAATAAACACAACTCTCAAATTTTGGAACATATTTGACCATTCATACCAAGCTAGAGAAGTACCTCAAGCACTTGCAGCTCTCTCCCTCAATGAGAAAAATACCATGAACACAACTTTGTTTGCTGACTCTGGCACTTCAGCACATGTGTTCTGTTAAGGTAAACTTTACAATGTCAAGTCATATTGTGGCAATGATAAATTATACATAGGAGATGGGAATGGGCTTGTCATTAGTCACACTAGTAAATGCACTTCAAAATATAGAACTAACGACTTAAATCTAAGTAATGTTCTAGTTGTGCCTTAATTACGAAAAATCTTCTTCATATTAGTAAGTTAACATCTGAGAATGATTGTACTATATGTTTTCATGCGGGAAGTTTTGTAATCAAGGACAAACAAAGTGCAATATGTTAAGGATCCCACGTTGAAAAGGGAATGGACCTTATAATGGTTTATAATAGACACGAGCTACTCCTCTCATTGCCAATTGGTTTTGAGATAAAACCCATGAATATTGATATGGTATCAGAGACCAAACTCTCAAACGAGCATCCAGTCCAAAAATGGGATCTGATCAAAATCRATGAGCCAAAAAGAACCACGATTTTGGAAAAGATCCGGACTCTAATGCTTTAAAGGTATTTGGGTGCAAGTGTTTTCCTTATTTGAGAAACTACGACAAAGATTATAAGTTCACTAAAAGAACCTATCCTTTTATTAGATATAGTCCTATTCACCAAGAATATAGATGTTTAGACACCTCAACAAATAGGATTTATATTTATAGACATGTAGTTTCCATAATTTCCATTTGTAAACTTTCAAAATTTATCTAAGGTTAAATTGTAAATTTGGTCTCTAAACTTTAAAGATTGTGTCTATATCTAGATAGGTTCTTAAGATTTCATATTAAACTTTAAAAAATAATTTTATAAGCTTTAAGTATTGTGTTTAATATAGGTTATATTATCGAATAAGTATTTGGACTTTCAATTTTGTGTCCAATAGATCCTCAAACTTTAAAAACTATCCATAAATCAAAGATCCATTAAACATGATATTGAAGTGTAAAGTCCTACGAGACATTCTTGTAAAGTTCAACAACCCATTAGATACATTATTTTAAATGTCTAGAGTCTTATTAGACATCTTTAAACTTCAAGGGTCTATCGGATACAATTTTGAAAGCTCAGAAATCGAACTTGTAATTAAAATTTACTAATTAAATAAAATTTATCAATTTTGTTATAGCATAGTAATTCTTAGAAACAAAACGCTCGAGGAACGACTTACCACATCAGATAGAGTAACCTTGTTGTCTAAGCCATCGAAATCTAAGAGCAACAATTAATGTAAATATCTTCATCACCAAGACTGCGAGGATTTTGCACATGCTCTAGAATTTCATTAATTTCTTCTTCAAAGTGGTAAGACAAACTCAGGTGAGGGATTGAATCAATCAAACTTAATGTTCTCAAGACTTTTTAGCAGCTGCAAGCATGCTTCTCACTTCTTCTTTCAGTTTTTGAAGTTTTTTCCTGACCAAGTCATCCTAATTTTTTCCATGGGTAATATTTTGTGTCCCACAACAAAAAGACATATCATATATGTATTAGGCTTAGAAGTTGTATATAAATACAAAAGCAAAATTTTCAAGTTCACCTTTGTTTCTTTTATTATGTTTCATGTTTCACAAAATATATATGTATTTATATCATAAAAACATATTTCTATATGTTTTATTGAAGTTAAAAAGGAAAAAGGATTACCCAGGACACATTTTTGTTCTGTAAATGAAAAAGAAAATATGAAACAAAAAWGTTTTATCATAGATACAACAAAAATCAAAATATGAGAAAGAAAACATTTCAAAACATAATTATATACCATTACAGGAAAGGAAATAATCTCCCCAAACACTTGGTTGAAAGTTTGGACGAAGAACACCATCAATGGAAGAGGCATTACTTGGTGCAATGAGATCTGAGACAACTTGAAATGACATTCTTTTTCTGGAGATATTGAAGAATGGATCAACACAGAGTTTTACTCCCACTATGATCTTATTATGTTAAAGAAAAACCTTTGATATGTTTGGCTGATATATAGATGTTCATGGGAATGGAATTTATAGGATTTTAGAATTTCAGTCTTGCACTCTTAAAGTGCTTCAAAAGTTTTTAATAATTATTGAAACTTTCAATTTTGTGTCTCCTCAGTTTTAGTCCAAAAATTGAAATGAATATCATATTAAAATTAAAAATTAAAGGAGTTATTAAAAACTTTTAAAATTCAGATGTATTATTAAAAATTTAACTTATATTTATTAGATGTTAAAACTAGTGGCTGGCTATTATAGAGTCATTCGTTGACTAGGTGATCAATTTGGCCATAAGTAAAACGTTGCACAATTTCCTACAGAGATTGTTTTTCCTTCTTGTAATAATTGAGCCTAAAAGGGAAGACGAGAGATTTTAAATTAGAGGATGGAAATTTTGGTCAAGTTCGTAATTTTTTAAGAGATTTGAACTTTGGTCTTTTCACCTGCCTCCACTAAGTACTCCCTTGGATGGGTAATTAGTGAAGATATTTTTGCAAGATTATCCTTTTGCACACCATTGTCGGCAAAAGGATATTGATCAACTATAAAGATATTAATAATTCTAAATAATATTAGGTTTCAATTTCTATCTATGCTCAAAACTCAAAGTGACAATCGACACGGGACTTTAAAATAATAACGAAAATCAATGTCGTGGAGTGCTAAAGAATAACGATCGATTATATATAGAATAATAGATATCGTACGTATCTATTAGAATCTCAATAGTTCTTCTATGGTTTAAAGATATAAGCAGTTTTGAATAGTGTTTTGACTCATTTTTCTAAAAGAATTTTATTAGGTAAAAATGGTAGGATAACTATATTAGGTAGGGAAAAGATATTTGATACTTTAAAAAAGCACCGTACAAATGTTATGCTGATTACTGCATAAAGAGACAATATTGCTTACTTTTTTAATTAAGTTTATTAAAAATTGAAACCAATCAAACGGAAGACACTACAAGAAAATAGGTTTTTTGGGACGTAGGAAATCTGTCGCTAAAAATCAGTCTATGTCGATAAAACTATCAGCGACAACAACGATCTGTCAATTACCACTGAGCTATGCTCACTTTGGCATCGCTAATAACTTTATTAGCGACAAGTCTTCTTTATTGCTGATAATATTATTAGCGACAAGGCCATTGTCGCACAATAGTTTAGTAGCGACAATAATGTCTTGTCGCTAATAATGTTAATTCATTTTTTTTTGGTCTATCTTGTCGTTGAAAACGGTTTGAAATCATCTCTTACTAATAGTTTGAAACGATAATCTTAATTAGTCGTCAATTAACTTCCCTTTTACATCTCTGAAATAATTTGCATCTAAAAATTCCATAATACATTTATTCATAAAAACATCTTAAATCATTTGAATTGCAAAAGTAACTTTTAAGATTGAATTGCAAATATGGAACATAAGATAAATCCAACTTTGAATAATAAATAAAAGTCAATTGATTAAATTGTAAATATGTGTATCTAGTCATTACATCCAAAAAGAATAGAAAAAACATACATCAAAATATCAGCGACGCAAACAACGTCACTGATATTAAATATCAACGATGCGGTGAACTAGTATTGTCGCTGATATATATTATCAGCGACATGCTTTAGTAACGTGTTGCTGATAATATATATAAGCAACATCTAGTTCGGCTGTATCGCTGAAAACGCTTTTAGCGACACGATTTTTACAACGTCTCTAAAAATTCGTCTTTAAAAGCCCGATTTTTTGTAGTGAGACTATCGGTCATTTTTAAGGCATGTTAGTCGCCGATCGGTTCCACAACTAGTAAGAAATCAACCCAACAACCGATCTATATATTACTAGTTTGATACCACGTGCAAATGCACGGAGTATTTTCAATTAAACTTAATTAATTTTATAATAACATAAATAAATGAAAAAACAATAAAATAATAATAATAACAACCAAAAAATAAAATTAAGATGTATATATGCAAACTTCATCAAGATATATGTATTTTACCAATTTAGTCCTTTAATACTCTTTATGAGTATATTTAAATTGCATTATTTCGTACCATTTTTTTATGGATTTTAGGTTACATTTCATATTTTTAATATATTGATTAAAAAATATATAAGTACTTTAATTTTTATTTTGAAAATGTTATTTTATCTAATTTGGGCCTATTATTTTTTAAAAATATTTTGTTTGTTTATAAAAAATTCTTAAAAGTTTTCAAGCTAACATTTTGGTATATATTAAACGTTTTAGTTTATACTTATTTAACTTCATATTGTAATTAAAATTATTAAAAAATCTTTAAATTATATTATTGGAAAATGAAGACACAAAATGTATTCCGACTTTTTAGATTTCATACAAATTGTTGTTGAAAATTGATTTATTATTTTACTATTTACAATTAATTAAAATAATTTTTATGTCCTTACACGAATTTTTTTTCAACATGAACGTGTAATGGATTAATATCATTATTTTCTAAACAACATTCTAAATGCCTGAAATACTAATTATAAGAGAACAATAAAAACAATAGTAACAAAAAAAAATCAAACTTCGGTTATACACTAATCTAAAATATGATTATGCTTGACAATAACTATTATTTAACGTCATAAAAACATCGCAAAGCTTGGATGATCTGACACATATATTCTGTGCAACTTGATAAATATGCCACCAACATGATTTTGAGATGTTTTTGAGATTGAATAATATTTGAGAGCAATGTTTTGAGAGAACTTAGTTTTCTGAAAAATTAGTTAATGAAAGTATATTTCTATACTTGTAGTAGATAAAACATTACAAAACTTTTGAAATTATAATATGAATTGTAATTAAAGAAAAAAATTTAATTTTATGGCATAGAAAATCTTTTGTATTCTAACCTTTTACGTTCTAACCTTGTTTGTATGATATACATTTATTATTATTGATAATTAATAATTAATTTAATATTTATAATAAATTAGTAATGACATAATTTGTAAATCCATAAATTAGGGGAGGGATAAAAACGTCTAAAAATGTTTTTTCAACACCGTTTCTTTTTAATTTTAATAATATAGTATAGATATAAATATATTAGGAAAAAAAAGAAAAGAAGAAAAAGGAAAATTAAAGATTTATTCAATTTTGTACCACTAACGCCTAATCCATGACATGTTGTAGTGCATCTGTTGCTTAACCTTGTTTCTGTCTCTCTCGCCTCTCTCAGATTGCAACACTGGCCACCTTCTCGGTCAATGAATATACTACTGAAAAAGATGTCAGTTTCTATTTTTGGAAATTGATCGTGTGTTGTGTGAAAGACAGCTCATTAAAGAGCTAATGACATGTAAACATTGGAAGTTAGTCACGTGTGATATTTTGTTAAAATTAGTTGTTATATTTGTTATTATTACCCATTGATTTAGCAATAGATCCTGATTTTGTTATTACGTTAAGATCTGCCTATATATATATATATGGTTTGACTGTAATTCACAAACGCATGAATAGAATTAAAATGGTTTCTCCTGCATCTCTTTTTTCTTATATTTGATATGGTATCAGAGTTTAATACATAGCGACTAAAGTTTGATTATGATGAATCTTTTTTTTTCTTTCGATTTTTTAGTTCACGGCTGATGATTTTGTTTTTCTCCCTTTTCAATTGAGAAGAAAAGTTGTTGCTGTCACTTATTGAAGACTAAGGCCTTTAATTACAAAATCGCCTCACAGGGGTGATTCTGCAATTCAAGGTACTCAAATAAGTAGCCCAAGGAACAAAATTTCCCAGCATTTTATAACTTCAACCCAGTAATCACGGAGCCTGAAATTACAGTCCTAAAGTTTGAACTTAAGCCAGTGATGTTTCAGATGCTCCAGACAGTGGGCCAATTTCACGGACATCCTACAGAGGACTCACATTCGGATATGAAGTTTTTTTTATGGAGGTATGCAATTCGTTTAAAGATGAAGGATGCAGCAAAGAAGTGTTGCGGCTTAAGTGTTTCCCCTATTCACTCAAAGATGAAACCAGAACTTTGTTGGAGTCACTGCCTTCAGAATCAATTACAAGTTGGGGGGATGACTTGGTTGAAATTTTTTTAATGAAGTACTTCCCACCCAACAAAAATGCTAAATACCGAGGTGACATCAACAACTTTTAGCAATTTGCTGGGGAGTCAGTGAGCGAATCGTGGGAGCGTTTCAAACCGCTTCTTCAAAAATGCCCTCACCATGGAATCCCAAAATTCATCCAGATCGAAAACGCCCTAACAGACTTAGTGATGAGAAGCATGATGCAGTAGCACCACTTGTTCAGGACAACGGTACCCCAAGTACCCCGAGTATCTCCACAATAGTATGATATTACCCGCTTTAGAAATAACCCTCACGGCTTTGCTTTTGGTTCCACCAAAAATGCCACATACCAATGGAGATAATTGTCCTCTCTTATATACCATGGATCACTTCTTTCCCTAGCCAATGTGGGACTTTGTCTGTATTCTCCCTACAAATCTAACAAAGAGAAATACCAAAGACCTCATCTACGTTGAAAGGACTTTTACCAAGTATGGATAATTGAATTTCATTTTTAACATTCTTTCTAAAACGAGTGGGGAGCTAAAAACCCAAGTTTGCTTCATAGAGAATGAAACTTGGTGAGACAGTCTTTGATTTGGTCTATAAAAGGAACGAGTGCACCTCAAGAGGACGCCACAAAAAACTTTATCCTGAACAAAGTGTATATCGATCTCAATATGTTTGGTCCAAGCATGGAATAATGGATTTGTGGCTAGGGTACCATCACTTATATTATCACACCATAAAACTACAATAGATGGTGATGGTCGTAGGCCAATTTCTCCAGGTAATTGCATAAGCCAAACAATTTCAACAGAGGCATGAGCTAATATTCGATATCCAAACATACTGTTTGATCGAGCCAAACCTAGAAAACCATGAGATAAGAGCGTTTCCAAGAAATATGCAATAGGCAGCAACTAACTTACGATCATGAGTGT